ACCTCGGTCGCTGGTACAGACCTCACTGCGTTCGGTCTGTACTGGCGACCTCGGTCAAGATTCTCCCATATAGACCTCCCGCTCGGTTAATAAGAACTAAATATGTATTAAAAAACGTACTGCGCTATCCACCGGATTGAGATCTAACCAGTGGTAACGTTATCCTCCCTTAGAACAACCCTGCTTGAAGAATTGTTACTTTATTTTTATCCATCAGAACCTATTTTTACTTCCGAATTCGTAACGAGGTAAATTTGGGCACTCATTGCAAAAGCTGACGACACTGTTCAGCTGAGAGAAAATACTGCCTCACATTTTACTCAGTGGCAGTAAGTTTTTAATAGCCCGTCTTTGTAATAAGCTCTCCCATCTGGAAACCCAGGAAATTCAAACTCAACCTACTAAGAAACTTGTGAGAATGTTCAATGTTGTTGTGTTGACCTCCTCAAGCTGAGATGTAAATAGCACAGACTTCGCCGAGGAATGGCTCAACCTAATAAGGAATGCAAAGTAAATAAAAAAAAAAAAAAGAAAATAAATAATGAAGGCGGCTGGCTTAAGTTAAGGAATGTTTCCATAATTATAACGATCTTTGCACGTCTCTATTCAAATTTACTAATTTTATAATAAGCCTATTGTTATTCATTCAGTTTTGTTTTACAATTGAACGAATCTGACCAAAAGCCATGTCGGTTCGCCATTCTAAGTCGGAAAGCTCATTTAAATTACAAATGATGACGAAAATTAATATTCACAATGGCGAACAGTCTTGCACGCGGAAAGAGTTTACGGACTACAAGAACATTAGGCGTCTCTTGCAGCTAGTTAGAGGCCAAGAAACACGTAATTTTGACATTATTAGCTTGGATATTGTCCGTTCAAAACCGGTGAACGCCTTTTCAACTTTGTTGAACCGAATAATTTAATTTCGACTTCGAAGTTTGATGGATGTCATTTGCTTCAAAAATTTCTTTAAGGTGAGTAATCCTCTTACAAATACCATTTTGAAAAGAACGCAGAGTACATGTCATTAGCTTTTTTCCCTCGTTAATGTAATAAAAGATTTACAAGGTGAAGGAGCAAGACCAATCTTAACACTCAGCCGCCCGCTGGTGATTTAATTGACCCACGTAACTTCTAGGGTAAAAACGAGAAATTCGTACCATAGTGTTGATATTTTGATCTTGTCTGTACTAACTTTCCTTTCTTTTGCTTTTCATATGCTGTATATAGTTATTTGTGCTTACATGTATATTGTTTTAACTTTGCTTTTGTTCTAAACGTACTTGTCATTTTGCCTCTCCACAACACCCGACAAAGAA